TTTATTTCAAATGAACCAACCGTTCTTGTGTTGTTACCTTGCTGCACCCAGAACCAAAGAAGGAACTTGCAGTAACCTTGGAGCTAAGTTTCTTGCTCCAAATATCAGGGAATCAGGTGTGAGCCAGCTTAAATAGATCTCATTTTTAATCTTATTTCTTCCCCGAATGAAATATAGACCCCGTGTTGATGCTTTGGAACACTGAAAATGAACACAGATGGTAAATCAAATTTAGGGAGGAGGGATGTTCTATATAACTACTAAATGCCAACTTCAAAACACTAGATGGCTCCCCTAATGTATTTTAGATTAGAGTTAAAAATAGGGCTCTGCATCAGAATTATTGAGAGAGATGACAATCATTTTTCAAGCACCATGTGCATCCATCGGGGCTATTGCTGATGAGGATGAGGAACAGGAGTACAACCTGAATAAAACACGTGGGGACTGGCACTTTTGGCTTGTTTCTTTCTCATTAAGGCTGATAAACGCCAGGTGGGGCCTAACGACTTGGTGGCCGTTGAAGGAAACAGGAATATGTTTTTGAAAAATGGACATGTTTTATTTCAGAAAAGAAACAGTAAATGGTTTAAAAAAATTTTAAAAACACCTGTTTGACAGTTGGTGTGATAATACTGTGAATAGCAGCGGAAGCTGGACTTGCCAATCTTACCTTCTGTTGCAACCCTGAGGCTGTTTTAGAACCAAGGTTGTGGCCCCTAATTTTCTGAGGGAGCCAGACACTTGCACTGGCTGAAAGGTTCGAGAACCTGTCGAAGAAGCAAAAGCACAGGCTTTGAAACGAGTCATTCTCAAATATCGGTAGATGTGCGAATGTGCCCCCATTCTTATCTGTAAAATGGGCATTTAAGAAATGTTAGTTTCTGCATCCCCACTACTGAGCAGACTTTACTCTCTCTGTGCGTAAACAGTAGAAAAATCTATGTCTATATTCGCTGGCACCTTATAGTTTGCAAAACATTTTTGTATTTATGAGTGATTTGCAAACTTTTTTCCCAAAAGGAGTGCACTTTCTCTCGAAATACTACGTAGAAGCACAATACATAAGAAAATATAAAAGTGGATTTACTCTGGTTGAACAAGGAGTTACAACCCTTCCAATGCCTCCACCATCAGTGTGGTCCCTTCCCTGTGGGACACAGTTTGAACACCTGTTAGAAGTGATTTGATTAAATACAGCACTTAGATGTACATTTATGTGATACAGAATCTTTTTTTTTAATACCGAATCTTAAAAGCTGAAAGATCATGTTTACTCTAAAATCACAGGTTACTTCATTAGGAGCTTTATTCGAAGAGACGGTATGATCCGATTGCAAGAAAGGTGCTATAATAATGGTGGGTAACAGGAGTGTTTTTCCAGGTGGTCTGTTGGGTCACTGAGGAGTTGAGTTCTCTGTCTCCATTTCCCTGTCTTTAAAATGGTGATATTAATTAATAGCAACCTCTCTTTTATTTTTAAGGATACCAGGAAAGTGATTCTAGTTCACAGATGAATCATACAAAGCCAGGGAAAAATAATGAGCCTACTTTGCAAATGGATGTGGGAAGAGAAATTTCCTTTCATCTTAAACAAGTCACCATTTTCCTTGATGTCAATTTGTGTAATAAATCTTGGCTTAGTGACCGCTAATGGAGTTATCCCACCTTTTGGACTGAAAAAGAAATGGCTGGTGTTGGTGGCCCCCAGGAGATTCTTCTAAAGCCAGTGAGCCCTTATTTTCCAGGTAGGGGTGACGTTGATCCTCCTCAAGCCCTGTGGGATGGTCTTCTGGGAGACAGTCTCAGTCCAAGCTTTGTTTTTAAGTTCCAAAGAGACGAATGAATCCTGTGCAAACTTACGATCTTTGAAGCCAACTGAAGCCCGCAGAGTGCTGTGTTTGGCTCCTGACACCTGCTCTTTTTAACTAGGAGATTCAATTGGGAATTTCAGGCTTTGTGCATTAGGCTCTGATGTGATCTCACTGCAGGATGGGCTGCAGAAAAACCTTGTTTTCAAGAATCTTATTATCCAATAGATGGATGATTCAGCCATTTGAAGCTCCACCTCACCCCTTCTGTTGCCTGATTTTAGTTATCAAGGAGAAGAAGAGGAAAGAAGCACAGAAAAGTCAGCCTGGGTTGGCAGCTCTGGCAGGAGATCTGGTGCACGAGGCAGGTGGTGGGGCCTTTTGGTTGTACACAATTTCTAGGTTAGGCGGTGATTTCAAGCATCTGTTCTTCTATATGTATGAGTATTTCAGATCCTTGGAGGGAAAGAATCTGTATACTCATCTAGGACAATAAATCCCAGACTTTGGTTTTTATGGATTAGGAAAATTAAAAACATTTTTTGGTCAATGGAGGGTTGCTGGCTTCCTGGTTAGCCAAATGAGGCCTTTTAAAAACCTACTTTTTCTTCTATCATCATCATTTCACTTAAAAATTGACCTGTAAACCCCTCTCCACCCCTTGAAGGGTGGTGACAACATCCAACAGAGGGCAATCTTTTAAATTTAGTAAGTTGGCTTTGTGACAAAACTCACTGCATTATCTTTATTTTTCTCGTTTTCCTGTGGAATTTTGAGAGCTTTGCACAGACTAGCATTTGGGAACCCCAGCTCTAGAAAACCCTGGAACACCAGGGCAGATCCCCCATGAATCTATTTCATGTAGAATCAGTTATCACACTGGAGAAACAGTTTCAAGGTCCTTGAGTGGCTCACTATGAGGTGCTCAGGACCTCGTCATAAAGACATTGGAGCTTCCCTGTTTTTGGTGGTGTTTTTGGTGATCAGGGAGCTATCAGAGGGAAGAGAGGGCCACAGGGCTTTATCATCCTCCCATATCATTGACTTACTTTCAGCACAAAGGAATATTTTGCATGTGATTTTTTAGTAGGATTGCTGATGTGACGTTTTATTCAGTCCCAAGGGCACCTCATCTTGGATTACTTGGACATGACAAGGAGGCAGGGGCGATAGGACAGCTAAAACCTAATTAAAAGGCCACAGTAGAAAATAGGGAAATCAGGACCACCCCATCCAGTCTCTTTACAGTCCTTGTATTCTTGGTGGGGAAAGGTAGTGTCCTCCCCCAGCAAGAGCACTGTCAGAGGCCATGTTAGGATCAACAGAGATGGGAGAGGGTGCCACCAAGACAGCGACAGACTCCAGACAGAATTGAGATGAGCTCAGCTTACGTTGGGGAGATAGGAGTGTCAGAGGCAGCTGGAGTCGCAAGGGCAAAGACACCAGAGGTGCAAGAGCTGGGTGACCAATAAAGTAATGATGACCTGGCTTTGCCCAGAGAGGGTAGAAGTTTTGGGAGCTCCATTTCCAGGATTCCACTGGTGAGGCTGCAGAGTCAAAGCATAGAGAGCTCCCATATATACTCATTTCCCAAACCAACAACTACCCCTGTTTTTAACATCTTGCATTGGTATGGTACATTTGTTACAATTGATGAATAGATATTTATACATTATTATTAATTAAAGTTCTTAGCTTTGTTTAAAAATCACCAAACTGTCTTCCAAAGTGGCTGTACCTTTTTGTATTTTCTACAAAGACCATTTTTGGGTGCATTGCTATTGTTACCCATATCCCTTGATATCTTGCTCTGGTTTGTGTATTCTGGCAAGGAAAAGCTGCAGATGGATCCCTGACAATTGGTAAAAACTCATTTTTTATGCTCTTTTAATACAACCTTTAATCAACTAGCCCTCTGGAGAGTGAAGTTGGAATGGACTGAGGCAAAAACTGCTTGGCTTTGGGTTCTAGCTGCCAGAATTCATTTTCTGCACTAACTAAAGTATACTAAGAAAATTAAAACTTCTAACACCCCCCAAAGTAAAAGGTACAAATTACTTAAGTGTTAATATTCTTTTCTACTACATTTCCTATGCCATTAATACTTGGATACATTTCAATGTCTGGACCCTTTCTCCCATAGAAATCTGTTTATTTTTCAGATAAAGAAAGGTGATAAAAAACAATCTCCTGGAAGTTTGGATCTGGAACTGAGAATATAAAATAACAGCTTCTTCAAGAATACTCAGAATTGTTTTTATAGGAAGAAGTTCTAAATTAAAATGATCCTTACTAGATACAATTCCAACAGAAATATATACATATATTCACCAAAAAACATATCGGATAAGTGTTCTCAGAGCACTGTTTGTAACAGAACAAAATGGACAACAATCTTAATGTCCCTCAACAGCAGAAGGAATAAGTCAGATGTGGTATCTTTAAACAATGGAATACTATGTGGCATGCGAATGATTGAACCACAACTTCATAATGCAAATGATTAAACATGATACCCCAAGGTCAAGGGTTCAGATCTCCATACTAGTCAGCCAGCCACACACACACACACACACACACACACACACACACACACGTATAATCCTGAATGATAGAAGGCAGATACAAAAGTGCGTGTATGGTATGACTCCACTTATGTGAAGTTTAAAAACAGGTACAACTACTCTGTGCCCTTAAAAGTCTGGGCAGTGGTTTACCTTTGGGTGTGGAAAGGGGGTACTGACTGGCAGGTGCTCAAAGTGCACTTCTAAGGCTCTGATAATGTTTGGTGTCTTGATTTGAGCTCTGGGCACATTGGTGATTTCACTTTGTGAAAAGGCTTCGTGTTGTTCTGATTAGTGCATTTTTCTGGATGTATGCTGTACCTCAGTAAAATGTGTAAGAAATGATTCTTTCTTATGTTACAATGAACACATGAGGAAAATGCCCACAAATTAATATTATTAAAGAAAGAAGGGAACTCAAGATAAAACGCATCCAACAATTTGTGTGCTTTTTTGCCATTATCGGTAACATTGACCCTTTACCTTAATATAAATTGATGCAGTAAACCAATAAAAGAAATTGACTTCACTGATAAGTGTGATGGAGAAGAATGAACCATCAGAAAAAGGGAAACAGCTCTAATGGCTTGACAATGGTCTCTAAAAGCTTTGCATTCTTTGATCATTTTTGAGTGATCAGCATTTACAAAATGAATTCAAAAGAAGCAGTTATGAAAACTTCACAGTCAGGGAGATCTCAGTTGTAAATGCCAAAGCGATTCCTAAGCATTCACATGACAGTAACATCAGAGATGAAGTTGGACTTTTTGTAGAGTCCCTCAGTAGAGGCACGAGGAAGGTCTTCCCTCCTGGAGTGTGAGTTTTCCATTTCATGGAATGATCGCATTGGTCCATCAGCTCCTGCATTTGATGGGCTTTGGAGTAGGTTTGGTGGTTTCTCGATGTACCAGACAAGGACTGCTTGAGGTGCTTCTGGAAATAAAACACTGAAAGAAAAAAATGTGGAAATAAATTCGACATCCTGCTGGGTAAAACTCCTGTATTCATTTCGTGCTGTATTTCTTGGCTAAATGATTGTACATGTCTGGCTGGCTTTGGAGACTGTCTTTGGAAGTTTGTTCTTTCTACACACTTGAAATATTTCTCTAAACAATTTCTCTCTCCTTTTAACCCTGCCTCCCAATATCCTATTCCTTTTTACTCAAGTTTATCTGCTCTTTACCTCCCTGAACAGACTTGCTGTCTCTCAGGGCTGGGCAATGTGCGGTGGTAGAGTTCAGACATGGCAGGAGACCATGCCTAGGTAAATCAAGGTCAAGCTTCAACAGGGTAGTGAGCCAGATGTGGCTAAGTAGCAGGAAGGCAGTAGTCAAGGTGAGGTGGGGCTGCAAAGACAGGTGGATTGGTCAAGGGCTGGTATAGGGGGGGACATAGTATATTTCCACTAAACACAAAGCAAAGAGTAGAAATCAGGTGAGTAGTCGGGAGTCAGGAGCAACAAATACAGATACAACAAATATGAATACAGCACTGCAGAAGGTCAGTCACCAGTCAGGAAAGGCAGACAGTTATGTAACGTCTCTCTATTACATCTATAAATATTTGTTTAGTATAACTGTGTCAGGTATTGTATTAGTCAACTTTTGTTGCAGCCAACCATAAAATTCTAGTGGTATACAACAAAAATCATTTATTTCTTGCTTATAGGTTTCTGAATTTTTATTTTCTGGTAATTGTGAGTTAGGTTATTCAAATTCTCCTGCAGAAAACAACTAAAAATCCTGAGAAAATATTTAAAAGTATTTTCTTAGCTGCATCAAGGAGCAACAGACAGAAAGGAATTGCTGAGCTAAAGGCAAATGAAAATTGCAAACCCAGAGAGCTAAATTAACATAGAAGCCACATTTGCCCTAAAAGTATTTGCCAATACAGGCAACCCTGAATTGTTTGGGTGGCCTGATAGAGAGTGAGATAGAGAAAATATTTAAAGACATAAAGACTGAGAAATTTTCAAAACTGACTTTAGACACCAAACCACAGATTTCAGAAGTCTAAGGAATCATAAGTCAAATAAATAAAATGAAAACCAAACCTAGATGTATCATTGTGAAACTGTGGAAAACCAAGCAAATAAAAAACCCCCCTTTGAAACAGCTGGAGATAAAAACAAAGGCGGATTCTCTTCAAAGAAACCATCATGAGACTGACAGCCGACTTCTCTCTGGCAACAATGGAAGTAAACACATAGCTTTGTCTCTGCCATTCGATTGTGTGGCCTCAGTCAGAACTGTTCACTCTGAAACACAGGTTTGACATTTGTAAATTATATCAAAGATTCCCTTGTCATTGTAAACACTTTTTAAAAATTCTATTTTTTTATAGTCCTTTCTCCTTCATGAATGGGCTTTATTATGCATACATGCATTTCATAGTATGATGTCTGGAACCAAATTGGTTAATGTGGGGTCAGAATGAGGCACTCTGGAGACTCCCCAGGTAAAGTGTGTTGTCATGAACTTTTTGGAAAACACAGCACACTTTTTCAGCATGTTGGGTTCAATTCTGTCTAGCTTATTTGCTTATAAAACCCACAGAAAGAGAGAACAAATGATATAATACAGAACCAGAGGCAGCATCAATCCATCTCCATCTTCTGTAATGTCAATTTTTAAGGGCAGAACCCAGATAATTTTTATCTTCCCATTTGGAGAGTCACCCAGCACAGTGCTCTGGCCATTTGTATACTCAAAAGATGCTGGTTGAAGTGAGTAGATTATTTATGTTCCCATTTTTGGTAGTTACATTTTAGTTTTTAAAAAACTAATTAGTCTACGGGGCCGGCCCGGTGGCGCACTGGATAGTGTGCCGCTTGGGAAGCGCGGCAGCGCTCCCGCCCGAGGGTTCGGATCCCACATACAGACCGGTTCCCGCTCACTGGCTGAGCGAGGTGCGGGAGCAACACCGAGGTTTGCAATCCCGTTGCCGGTCCCTGGTCCGGTACGGGGGCAACACTGAGGGTTGCGATCCGTTGCCGGACACGGAAAAAAAGACAAAAGACAAAAAAAAAAAAAGAAAAAAAAAATAAAATAAAAAAAATAAAAATAAAAAACTAATTAGTCTAGAAAAGTTAGGTGGTGTTTTGGCCTGAGCCTCATAACTTTTGAAACTTGATGGAGGTCACCATGAGCTCTGGATCACATCTGTCAATTTTGAGATTCAAAACTTCTGTTTTACTCCATACTTCTAGAGCCAGTAGGGTTTGATTCACACTAATAAGCTTCATGAGAAACTTGTGTATAATGCAGAATGCCAATCTGTAATTTGTAAGAGTGTCAAATGTCTACCATGTGCACAGCCTCCTTTGGAGGGAATTGATCCGCCCACATCCATTGATGAAAGGGTAGGCCAATGGTCACGGCGTGATCCCATCCCCACCTCCCACCAGTGCACTGTTAATGGAACAGGATGGGAATTTGACCTAAGGGCTGCCATTTGCCATTCTATAAGCTGGCCAAACCTCCTTTATTCCTGCTCCGCCCCTTCAATCATAGCTGGACAGTTAATCCCTCCTGACTTTTAAAAATGCATTCCTGTTATTACTATTATTACTTTTCCTAAAGTAACTCTCTTTCCCTCCCATTCCCAGCAACAATTCCTGTCCCTGGACCAGCTGCCACCCTTGCATCTCAGCAGACAGCCCTGTCTTCTTCGTTGAGAAAACAAAGGCCAGCAGTACTCCATTCCAGAAACTTGCCGTGTCTGTGCCTCTCTCCCACCTTCCTCCCGTCTCTGTGATGATGTGCCTTTTCTGTTTAAAGCCAGTCCCATCCACTTGTGCTTTTGGTCCTGTGCTTTCCTGTGTCCTGTCTTGCTCTGCGTATTATTCCCTTTCTGGTAAGTTGACCTCTGCTCTCTCTACTGCGTCTCTCTCTGCAATCTGTAAACATATCAACAGGAAGCCCTAAACCCCCCACTCTGGCTATCGGCTAGCTTACAGAGATCGTGTGTTCGTACCTCCTGTCTCTCCCAGACTTACTGCAATTCGGTTTCTGCTCTCCACCTGGCCACTGAACTTGTATTCACCAAAGCTGCCAAATCAAGTGGACATATTTCGTTTCTTTTTTTTTTTTTTTGTCTTTTTGTCTTTTTTTCATGACCGGCAACGGATCGCAACCCTCAGTGTTGCACCCGTACCGGACCGGGACCGGCAACGGGATCGCAACCCTCGGCGTTGCCCCCGCTCCCCGCTCAGCCAGTGAGCGGCCGGTCTGCATGTGGGATCTGAACCCTTGGCGGGAGCGCCACCGTGCTTCCCAAGCGGCACACTGTAGCAGTGCGCCACCGGGCCGGCCCCATATTTCGTTTCTTTAAGATCAGATTTTCCGGGCCGGCCCGGTGGCGCACTGCTACAGTGCGCCGCTTGGGAGCGCGGCGGCGCTCCCGCCGAGGGTTCAGATCCCACATGCAGACCGGCCGCTCGCTGGCTGGGCAAGGTGCAGGCGCAACACCGAGGGTTGTGAGTGCAACACTGAGGGTTGCGATCCCATTGCCGGTCCTGGTCTGGTACGGGCGCGACACTGAGGGTTGCGATCTGTTGCCGGTCATGAAAAAAGACAAAAAAAAAGGAAAAAAAAAAAAAAGATCAGATTTTCCTCTGTCACTGGGTACTTTTGACCACTCAGTCCTTAAAGTATCCATATGCGTGGTCTGGGTATTACTGTTTCTTTGTTTTCCTTCAGCATCTTTGACTATTTCTTGTTGGCCTTCGTGTAACTCACTCCCTTTTTCGTAGTACTTAAGATATATGAGGGTACTTTAAAAAGTTGATGCGAAGATTTGTATTGCTTTTTAATAGTATTTTTCCATGAACTTTTGGAATACTCTTGTATATTAAAATCATCTCTATATAGATTTGTCTTTGTCACTAGATTATGAGCAATTTCAAAATAGAAATACTGTTTTTTAATATCTTTATATTCCCAGTAACTGTTTTAAAGACTTTCTTTTCTTTTTAATTTTTTTCCCCCTTTCCAGAATGCCTTGTTGACTATTTCCTTGTTATAGTGCTAGACGGACATGTTATCAGGTAGGATTCTCTTCAGCTGTCAGTAAGAACAGTATCTTAAATAAGGGATTTATTTTTCTTTTATAACAAAAATCCAGAACCAGGCTCAAAATCCTCAACAAGGAGCCAGAGTCCTCCTTTTTTCTCCAACATACTTAGCATTTGGTTTTCATCCTCGTGGCAGAAAGATGGCTGCCCTACGTGCCTTCAGGCATTACATCTGTATTCCAGGGCTGAGGACAAGGGGGCAGAACTCTCCTAGTGAGGCTGTACCTTTTTATGCTGGAAGCCCTCCTCAGGGCTTTTGGGTGCACCTCATCGGCTGAGCTGGTGTATTTAGCCACCTCTAGCTGTACAGAAGGTGGAAGTCAAATTATCTTAGCAAAGCATTTTGCTGCACTGAACAACGCTGGGGTTCAGCCAGGAAGGAATGAGAGGGGATGGATGTTGGTAAGGCAATTAGCCACTTCCTTTTTTCATTACTTCATGATGAGCAAATCTCACCGTTTGCTTCTATTTATCTTATTCACTTCCATTCTAGATTTTTTTCCCCTGATCACATTTTAGACCATGTCCTGGCCTCATCTAGAGCACATTTAGAACGGATATCAGAAGTAAACTACTTTTGGAGAAGATGCCCATACATGGCTAATTTCATCTATATTAGGTGGATTCTTACACATTTCAAGTTCTGGAGTTCATTTTTCTGATCTTGTCCCCAGATTATCAGGAGCACGTCTTATTTGAGACTTGCCTTATTTTTTCCTAGAGTAGCTTTCTCTCTCCCATTCTCGGCAACGATTCTAGTCCCTGAACCAACTGCCCCTTGTATCTCAGTAGAGAGCTTCATCATCTTTGTTGAGAAAATAAAATTCATTAGTACTCCATTCCTGACACTTGTCTATGTTTGGTAGTAAATCTTCTATATGCTAACAAGGTATATATAAAGTTTAATATATAAAAATATTATAACACTTAATCATTTATAATATATGCATATCACATATACTATAATATATAATTTATATTGTGATATAATTATGTGATGACATCATCTAATCTATTTTGTTAAAACACATTCTTTCAAAATGTTATTTCCTATACATTAAATGTATCTGTGGTACTCACTCTCTAGATGAAGGCTGTTTCTCTGGAGTAAGAGGGAGGTGGGTAGATGCTGGAGAGAGAAGTCCAGGCATTCAGGCAAAAGGAAATAGACATCGAAACATAAAATGAAAAGACAGAGATTAACTGCCATATTCTGAAAGCAATAATAACACAGTGCACAGTAATGGCTTGGAGAAAAATTTCATTTTTGTCTACTAAAGCATCAAATCCACCAGATGGGGCTCTAATATTCTTTTGGTTCAATGACTGAAAATCCAAGCATTTACTGTTATCTTTAGAGAAAGAAAATATATCACCCATATTAACCTCCAAGAGAATTTGTCTGAGATAGGATTATGCCTCTAATAAGCATTATCATTGTTTAATATCTTTTAATACCATGAGGTGATTTATATAGAAAGGTGCCAATTTGCTGAAAATTGAGTCATCCAAATAGTTGAATTAAATCAGTTCAAGTAGTTCTGAGTTAAATCCTTTTGTGAGCCTTCTTTTAAGGAAACAAAGACATATTTATACACAAATGGATGCATTACAGCTACCGTGCTTTTCCATCTTTGCATTTACTGACATAGTTTAAAATTTGAATTGTTTAAAAATTGTATTAAATCATTGCAAAATTTATCACAGCTGTAATATATATTCAGCTCAATCTAACTGTTTTGATAGGTTATGTTTTGAGTATTGAAACTCAAGATTTTTCAGGGCTGAGATATGGGTTCTTCAAGGAAGACATTTTGCTTCTATTTTTCTGAGATTTAGATTTGGAAATGCAAGTCTCTTCTTGGACTCTTTTCCCTATGACTCATAACTTTTTTGCAACCTGGAAATAATGCCAACTTGGCAAGATAGATCTGAATTTTGATGTAGAGGTTGAGTGGATCTAAACCACAGACTTGAGATTGGGCTATTAGATAGATAATGTCATCTAGGGGAAGAGTCCCAAGTTAGGATCAGGAGCCATAGTCTAATGTCCCAGGTCAGCCAGTCATGAAACCTCACCACCACCAGCAACTACGATAATGTTCACGTTCACCAAATGTTTCTATACATTAACTCATTTAATTCTCCCATAATCCTCTGGGCCTGGCTGAAGTTTCCTTTGGCTGAAGGAAATTCTTTTTTTTTTTCTTAATTAATTGATTTTTTAAATTGACAAATAAAAATTGTATCTATTTATTGTGTGCAACATGATGTTTTGAAATATGTATACATTGTGGAATGGCTAAATTAAGCTAATTAATATATGTGTTACATCACATACTTATTTTCTTATGATGAAGACACTTAAAAATCTACACTTAGCAATTTTCAGTAATATAGTCATTGACTACAGTTACCATGTGTACAACAATCTCTTGAACTTATTCCTTTTGTTTAACTAAAATTTTGTGTTCTTTGACCAACATCTCTCCAATCCCCACCTCTCTCCCAGTCCCTGGGAATCACCATTCTGCTCTCTGCTTCTGTGAGTTCAACTTTTAAAAATTCCACACGTAACTGAAATCATTTGGTATTTGTCTTTTTGTGCCTGGGTTGCAATACTTAACACAATGCCCTCGCAGCTCATCCATGTTGTCACACATGACAATTTTTATTTCTTTTTTTAAGGCCGAATAGTATTCTGTTGTGCATATATGCCTTATTTTCTTTATTCATTCCTCTGTTGATGGACACTTGGGTTGATTTCATAACTTGGCTGTTGTGAATAATGCTGCAGTGAACATGGGAGTGGGGTATCTCTGTGACCAGTTGATTTCACTTCCTTTGGGTATATATCCAGCAGATGGATTGCTTGGTCATACAGTAGCTCTATTTTTTTTAAATTTATTTTTATTTTATTTTATTTTTTATTTTTATTTTTATTTATTTTTTTTCATGATTTTCTTTTTTTTTCCGTTAAATTTTTATTTTGTCAATATAAAATGTATATGATTATTATGGCCCATCACCGACACCTCCCTCCCTCCTCCC